AGGGATGCCGGTACTTCACAAAGATAGACTTGAAGTCCGGATACCATCAAATTGCCGTTAGACCTGAGGACCAACACAAAACCGCATTTCAGACCAGGTACGGTCTGTACGAGTTTGTGGTGATGCCTTTTGGTCTATGCAATGCGCCTGGTACGTTCCAGCACGTGATGAATAGGATCTTTCATGACTACTTGGACAAGTTTATCGTCGTGTACCTCGACGATATTCTCATCTTTAGTAGGACTGTAGAGGAGCACGCCGAGCACCTGAAAACAGTGCTAGGCCTCCTAAGACAGCACCAATACAAGGTAAACTTGGATAAATGCGAGTTTGGTCGCACCAAGATCTTGTACTTGGGTCATGAAATTTCAGCAGATGGATTGAGGCCGGAAGATGCGAAGGTGGTCAGCATACGTGACTGGCCCAGACCTCAAACGGTTACTGAGGTCAGATCGTTTTTGGGGATGACGGGCTATTATCGTCCATTTGTGAAGAACTATAGTACTATAGCTTCCCCATTAACAAATCTAACTCGACTTGACACCCCTTGGGAGTGGACTGAAGAGTGTGAAGCAAGCTTCAAGAAATTGATGTATGATCTGATGCACTATGAAGTTCTCAAACTTCCTGATCCTGACAAGCCGTTTGTTGTGACCACAGACGCCAACCAATATGGCATAGGCACGGTCCTTGCGCAACAGGAAGGGCCCAAGTTGAGACCGATCCAATACAAGATGCCATCTCAAAAGTTGGCCAAGTCCACTTCTGAGAGAGAGCTCTACGCCCTGTATAGAGCGCTAGTTCATTGGAGACACTACCTCCTAGGAAGATTCTTCTATGTGAGGTCGGATCATGAGACTTTGCGCTGGATTAAGACACAGCCAGTCTTGTCGGACGCACTCAAGAGATGGATTCAAGTTATAAACATGTATGACTATCAACTTGATCCTATCAAAGGTACGTACAACAAAGTGGTTGATGCGTTATCAAGAAGGGCAAATTATCTGGGCGCGCTGGTAACTGAGTTTGGCATATCTAATAACCTCACTCGATCGTTGGTGGAAGCCTATCAGGGAGACCCAGTCATGTCAGAGATCATTCGTAGATTCAAGGCGAAGGATAAAAAGACTTTGGACGAATTTACGATGGTAGACGACTTGTTGTTCCTCGATAAGGCAGGGAATAAAAGACTATGTGTTGCTAATAGCGAGTCTTTGCGTAGTTTACTTCTAGGAGAATGTCATGATGCAACTGGCCATTTTGGCTATAAGAAGACAACAGCAAACTTAGTTCAGAGATTCTGGTGGCCCTCTATGATGGAAGATGCAAAACGATATGTTGAAACCTGCCAGGTTTGCCAAAGGGACAAACCGAGGACTCAGGCTCCGCTTGGGCTCATCAAGCCTTTGCCGATTCCTGGAGGTCCTGGTCAAAGTGTGTCCATGGACTTCATGGATACCCTTGTGACCAGTAAGTCTGGAAAGTGACACATCTTCATAATAGTGGACCGTTTTACTAAGTATGCAAGACTAATCGCTATGCCAGAAACAGCTAAAACTGACCACGTCATCAAACTGTTTATGGACAATTGGGTTCGTGACTTCGGTTTGCCTACATCTATCATTAGTGATAGGGATGTCAGGTTCACAAGTGAACTGTGGCAGTCAACTGCTGAGCAAATGGGCACAAAGCTCCAAATGACGTCAGGGAATTATCCTGAGTCAACTGGCCAAGCAGAACAGATGAACCGGGTAGTGCAGCACCTGCTTAGGCATTATATTAAGCCAAGCCAGGATGACTGGGACGAGAAGTTACCTCTCGTCGCCAGCCGGTACAACAACGCTGTGCATAGCACCACCGGTATGACTCCCAACCAGTTACATCTTGGTTGGAAGCCCAGATCCGCGCTTGACTTTCTGTTACCAGAAAGACAACCTACTGCAGCACCTGGCAGCATAGAGTTTGCTGTCAAGTATGAGCAGATGCTGCAGCAGGCCGTTAAACATATTCAGAAGTCTCAAGATGCTATGATTGCATCTGAGAACAAATGTAGACGGCCTTCTAACTTTCAGGTAGGTGAGAGAGTCTGGGTGAAATCATCTTAACTGGGACAAGAGATAGGGATCTCAAGAAAACTGATGCCTCAGTACTTTGGGCCCTGGGAGATCTTAGACATTGTAGGGGATCAATCGGATGGGCCTTCATACGTGATTCGCATCCCAGCACACTTACGGACTTATCCTGTTTTCCATGCCTCCAAGCTGGCACCTTTTGCTGCCACAGACCTGTTTCCCTCTCGGAGATCTATGCTGCCCCCAACCATGGATGGCGAAGTAGACATTGACCAGATCGTCGAGCATCGAATGATGCCTGTTTCTCGACCATCAGGCAGAGGGCGACCTCCTAAACCAAGAATGCAGTATCGGGTGAGCTTCAGACATCACCTCGATCCCAAGGAAGATCGCTGGTTCACACAAGAAGAACTCATGAGAACAGCACCTCAAGTGATTGCAGGCTATGAAAGAGAACGGAAAGGGAAGATGCCTGCAGAATAAGAAGACTTCTCAGGGGACTCACGAAGTTGAGGAGGAGGGAATGCGAGGATCAGGGTCCTCGGTAGGCCTATGGGGCCCTGTCTGCAGCCTCACCCGCCCTAAGTGAAGGCGGAGGTGCCCGCCCTAAGTGAAGGCGGGCCTGGCTTTTTGCAAAAGGCCTTCGACTGTCAATTTCATATTTGGGGTTCAGGCAGTTGCGACGCGCCAGTTGGTTGAAAGAAACACAGGCCGAGCAACAAAGACATTTCCACGGCCTACCGGGCCTTTCCAAAGAATGCAGGCCCTGGCCGTGATTCGCAGCCTCATACAGAGAGAGTTGGGCGCCCAACCGAACGAGGCCCAGCAGCCCAGTAGCTGGCAAGCTGCTGCATCCAGGTAGCCTCCTTGGGCCTTCCGGAAGCTTCTGGGCCCAGGCCAAGGCAGCCAGGCTGCGTGAGCAGGCCAACTCTTTCCATAAAGGAAAGAGCTCGGCCCTGGCTGCCTCATTCAGGCACTCGCATGCTGGGCGGCAGCGCTGCTGGAGCTTATGCTCGTAGGCTGCTGCTAGCGCTGGGAGGCGAGGTGCAGCACGTGCGGTCGTGCAGAGGAGGAGGGCGCTGCTGAGGGCAGCGCCATAGCCCAGCCACCATAGCTGGTGGGCTNGACATTTCCACGGCCTACCGGGCCTTTCCAAAGAATGCAGGCCCTGGCCGTGATTCGCAGCCTCATACAGAGACAGTTGGGCGCCCAACCGAAAGAGGCCCAGCAGCCCAGTAGCTGCTGCATCCAGGTAGCCTCCTGGGGCCTTCCTGAAGCTTCTGGGCCCAGGCCAAGGCAGCCAGGCTGCGTGAGCAAGCCAACTCTTTCCATAAAGGAAAGAGCTCGGCCCTGGCTGCCTCATTCAGGCACTCGCATGCTGGGCGGCAGCGCTGCTGGAGCTTATGCTCGCAGGCTGCTGCTAGCGCTGGGAGGCGAGGTGCAGCACATGCGGTCGTGCAGAGGAGGAGGGCGCTGCTGAGGGCAGCGCCATAGCCCAGCCACCATAGCTGGTGGGCTTGGACTACAGTGAGGCGCAGGGGTGGTCTTCGAGTGACAGAGAGGACAGGTGTGGGCGAAGTCAGGGGATAGGTGAAGGATGATGATGATGATGATGATGTGAGGGCACGTACCTTGTATTGGTGATGGTCTGCATGGGCGGCATCTTCAAGTACTTCGGACTGCTGCTGATGTCAACAGTTGCATTGTCTTTTTGTAGTCTGTAGTAGCTGTGTAGGAGTAGGCTGGGCGCTGAGCGCCAAGTGTGAGGGTTGAGGAACTGGACTCTTGTGTTGAAGGGAGAGAGTATGCTCTCCATGTACATTGGTTTTTCAGTGCTATGAACCTCCATTGGTGTAATATTGGTGCAATGCTGCTCTATGGACACGGTGTGACTATTTGGCTCTCAACGTGATGGTGTGGTCTGGATTGTCATCTCGCTGTTGCTTATTTTCCTTGCATTTAAACCTAATCACGAATTAATAACCAAAAATCCGAATTAAACAGAATGTCGGATTAGTATCAATTTATCGGAACCCAATTAAACAGCATACCGGAGTAAAACAGGAATCCGAATTACAAGTCCGAATACCGAATCGAAACGGAAATGCCGAAGTTTATAGAATACCGAAAAAAGAAAAAAAATTGCAACTTTGAAAACTTGATAGTAATACAGAGCTGATTTGGAAGATTGAAGAAGCAATCTAATTCCTAAATCAGACTTACCTGGTGAGCAGATCCGTGAAATGGTCTGCTCCGATACCAAAACTGTTACATACTCGGGATTTTACTCAGGAGTATGGGGCAGAACCAAAGATCAACCAATATAGGATGAGTATGTACGCAACGGAAGTCTGATAAACGGACTGACTCACATAGACTGACTCACATAGATATCACTCCACACACATACAATCGTGAGATGGTGGGGTCTGAGCCATGCATAGACGATGCTCAGCCCCGTACACACATACACAGATGAAGGTGGGAGGAGAGACGAAGGAGGTGGGAGATGTAGGTAGCACCAGATGTCACCGAGATAGAAACCAGTAGGTCACCGATATGGTAATCCAAAATGTCATCGAACAAGATCAAATGTTGCGGACAATAAGTCACCAATGTCGGAGATACAGAGTCCTAATGTAACCGGTGTCCAATCTGTATTGCAGCCGAGTATCATCCCCAACAATCTCCAAGTCTCGAACCCGGTAAGTACCACAGCCTCTTACCACCGAAGTCCAACACTGATCTCTGTCCAACTAGTATATCCAGTCTGAAGAAGAAGAAGAAGAAGAAGAAGAAGAAGAAGAAGAAGAAGAAGAAGAAGATGAAGTCTGAAGGAGGAGTAGAAGAAGAAGAAGAAGAAGAAGATGGAGGAGTCGAGGAGGAGAGAGAGAGAGAGGGGATTGGCGACGGGAGGGAGGAGAGAACCTCCGGCTCCTGATACCTCAGGCGGCTATGGCTGCCGATCTGCTCAGTCGCCGCCGCTGCTGCTCCGCTCGCTGCCGCTCCGCTCGCTGCCGCTGCTGCGATACTGCTGCTGCGCTGCTCCTTGTGCTCCTGCACTAAGATTAGCACTAGCGCTCTGGCGCTAGACCATAACGCACCGCTAGAGTGCCGGTGGTTCGATCCCTCAGAATGAGGTMGGACCGGTCTTTTGTACCGGTGGGGCAGAGGCCAGCCTCAATGCTGCGAGGCCTGGCTGTGCCCTGAACCGTCGAGATTGACGGTTCAACCCCAACCGGCGGGCGGCAGCCTCAAGAGCGCCGCCAGGCCCAAACGGTAATGTCGTTTGGGCCTGCCTGTCGGGTCTGGTCCAAGATGTGGCCTTTACGGCCTGCTGTACCCCAAGTCCGGGCCTTTAGGCCCTACTGTGTCCTCCTGGCCCTAAGTCGGGTCCGGTAGGACCCGTCGAAGATGTAACACTCTCTCTCGCTTTCCTCCTCCTTCCCTCCCTCCCTCCTCCATCAACCCCTGTCCCTCTCCCATTTGCCTCGTCCATTTCTCTCGCTCTCACTCTCTCTCGCTCTCTCTCGCTCTCTCTCGCTCTCCTCCTCCCTCCCTCCCTCCCTCCCTCTCTCCTCGCTACCCCACATCTCTCTCTCTCACCTTTGTGGCATCTCTCTTTGTCCCGTTTGCCTCGTCCATTTCTCTCCCTCTCTCGTTTTCCTCCTCCTTCTCTCCCTCTCGCTCGCTCCCCTCCTCCTTCCCTCCCTCCCTCCTCCATCAACCCCTCTCCCTCTCCCATTTGCCTCGTCTCTCTCTCTCTCTCTCTCTCTCTCTCTCTCTCTCTCTCTCTCTCTCTCTCTCTCTCTCTCTCCCCTCCTCCCTCCCTCCCTCCCTCCCTCCTCCTTCAACCCCCTGTCTCTTTCTCGTTTCTTGTCGATTGTGAAAAAAAGGTACAATCAAGGCGCTGATCTGTCAGAGTTCTTGGCTTACGACGGAGCGACTTCGTACTTCTTGGTACAGGGTTGTTCGTAAAAAGAGGGGGGGCTTTATCTGTGTATTATTGGTTGCATGCAAGAATGCATGTGTGGTTGAACTCGACGTCAGTTGTTCGTAACTTCATACTTCTTGTTACTAGGTTGGTTGCCTGCACGCATGCATGCGTGGACATCACTTGATTGATTGATTGATTGCCAATGATCGAGTGATTGATTGAATCAATCAATCGCTCAATCACTCGATCATTGACAATCAATCAATCAATCAATCAATCGATCATTGGCAATCAATCAATCAATTAATCAATCAATCAATTCAATCAATCACTCAATCACTTAATCATTGGCAATCAATCAATCAATCTCAATCAATCAATCAATCAATCAATAGATCATTGGCAATCAATCAATCAATCAATCAATCAATCAATCAATCAATCAATCAATCAATTCAATCAATCAATCAATCACTTGATCATTGGCAATCGATCAATCAATCAATCAATCAATCAATCAATCAATCAATCAATCAATCAATCAATCAATGTATCAATCAATGTTCCGCCATTCTCCCGTAACTGTGCTTGACGTTCGCTGAACTACCACTTCTCTTTCCCTCCTCGCTAGCCCTCGCCTCTCTCTCTCTCACACACACCATTGTGGCGTCTCTCCCTCTCCTGTTTGCCTCGTCCATTTCTCTCGCTCTCTCCCGCGATCCTCCTCCCTGCCATCAACATATCGTAAGTGTTGTGGACTGTGCAACTTTTTTTTTTCCTGCTTGAACCCCTTGATGAGAGTGGGTCAGGGAGAGTAATAGATTTGAGATTTAGAAGGAGGTAGGATTGACTCAGGGTTATGGCGTTCAGGTTCTGAGGGATTATCTCACGAAATCCTGGGAGCACCAACAGACACAAAACAGACTGACCCGGAAATTGAGATGTGTCAAGACGGCCCAGTGGGCACCAGCAAGCAGGTCGTACTCATCGGGAGTCGCTATGCTACAAAACAGCAGAGCTGCGGCAGCAGAAATGATAGTGGTAGGGGACACACAAGTGGATAGACAGGAAGGGAGATGGGTAAAAGTGGATTTTGCATTCCACGATGAACCATACACCCTGTTGGCAGTCTACTGTCCCAACGGGTTTCAACAGAGTGCGCAGCTGGTGGACAGCAAACCTATTGACTGTTTCCCTTCCATTTTCATGTACTATGGAAACTCTGACGCCACACCTCGTGTCGGCACAAAGACAAAAAAGTTGAAGGCGTTCCCAAATTTTCTTGGTAGAGGCAACTTCGTTGCACTTAGGATCACGCCTGTATTAAGGGTCTTTGTTTACATGATCAGTATGATTCTCCTGTCAACAAAGAAAATCATATGTAAAACACAGGCCTCGTTGGCGGAGATTTCACAACGACCTGTGGAGTAATGGAAGTCTCCAAAGTTGACTTGTGTTTAACTAATTTGAGCTTATTTACCCTTATGAAACCTAACTCTACATTGTCTATATTGGACCCCGTCAGGCACCTCATCTTAGTAGACGACTGGAACACCGCTTTAGACCCTAATCTAGATAGGATGTCAGAGGGCAATAGGCAAGGGGAAGAGGATTGGCAGGAGAGGAGACCCTCCCAATCCACAACATGATGGCGGGTAGTGATCTGATAGACCCTTTAGATTATTCTTTCCAGAGGAGAGGCAATTTACTTAGTACAAAAGGAATCGTAGTCAACACATCTCGGCGTCACAAATCGACTATTTCTTGACCTCACTCGATGTAACTGGTATGATTCATGTAGTGGGAATAGGGGATTTACCTTATATTTCGGGCCTTACCGAATTGAGACAGGCAATCCTACAAGTTTGCCTATCTCATAACCCGGAGACACAGTCCTTCCCGGATCTGATGAACTCTCTCTCTCTCTCTAAGGCAACGGTGGTGGTGGCGAGACAACCAGCGGTCAAAAGGAAGAGGAGAGAGCAAGAGTTCCAACAAGCCATCAGAATAGCAGAGAAAAACCTCATCAGGCACGCCAACACGGACGTGTATGAGAGGACTTTGGAGGCGGCAAGATCAGAACTAGGAGATTGGGAAAGATGGAGAACCTAGGGCCTGCAACTGAGGGCTAGAGTGAAGGAGTGGGAAGAGGGGGAAAGAATAACGGAGTTCTTCCAGAAAATTAAGAACAGAGGCAGAAATGCATCGATAGAAAAACTGGAGGGACCACAAGGGCTGACAACCAGCACAAAAGGAATGGTAGCGATAGCTCATGATTTCTACAACAAGCTTTACAAGTCAACAGAAGGCGAACATCCAAGACAACAAGCATGGTCTAAGTTCTTGGCGTATCTCGAGCCTACAATCTCTCAGTCACAAGCTGCAAGCGCCGCCCCATGGCGCTTTCCAAATCCCCAACCCCCCTCCCCAACATCTGCCACGTGTCCGCGAAGTGGCGCGTCCGCGCGGACGCATCCGCGGGGGTCGCGGACTCGGCTGCGGCCGATGCTTGTCCGCCGCCGAGGGTGTTTCGCAGATACTCACAGCTATTCGGTCCAGGGGGTACAGCAATATCGGTGGTATCCATACTAACCCTTTGGAATGGTCGTTCGACTATGGTAGGCACTATCGACCTAGGCAGCTGAATTGGCGCCTTGTCAGCAGTGCAGACCTGACAATTTTGGACGATGAATTTGAAGGCCCTCAAGTCCATGTCGCCTAATAAGACCCCCGGAAGAGATGGATTGACTAAGGAGTTCTAACTGGAATTTTGACCCATCCTGGGCAGTGAATATGAAGCCTTCCTCGAGCAAGCATGACAAAGGGAGGGGCTGGGACAAGACCCAACCATGGGAATTGTCACGCTCCTATACAAAAAAGGAAACCCGACGCACATCCGAAACTACAGGCCAATAACTCTTCTCACGCTGACAACAAGATTGTGGCCAACGCCCTGGCAAACAGACTTCGTGTGGTCACGGAAGGGTGCTTCCATCTAGATCCAACAGGGTTCATCCCAGGGCGCTTCATCCTCGATAACGTTATGGCATTGACTGAATCGATACACTATATTAGGGACAAAAGGATCAACGCGGCAATTCTCTTTTTCAACTTTGAAAAGGCTTATGATCAGGTGAATTGGAGCTTCCTACAGCAGTGCATGGAAAGGATGGGTGTAGGCCCGAAATTTTGAAAATGGATCAGACTCATGCATAATGATGCGCACAGGCAGGTGCACGTTAACAGTCATCTTTCAACAAAATATAAAACGTCGAGGTTGGTCAAGCATGGGGATCTGTTAGCAGTGCCAATTTTCCTCTTCATTATGGAAGTCATAGCCTCCTTCCTCCGTTAAGATCCATCAATACAATGCTTCGTCGCGACACCAGACCCGCAACGCCGGCTAGTTTACTTGCCGACAACTATACTCTTCGCAGATGATCTTACAGTGCTGATCAGAGCCTCGGATTCATCTTTCCAAGCACTCACGCGGGCAATGGAAGCCTTTCAGCTAGCATTGGAAATGAAAATAAATTTGCCATAGACCGTGGGCTGGTGGCTAATAGACCAAGAAGAAGAAGGGCCAAACCCCACCATCAACCCGAAGGGACTACAATGGGTGACAGCGCGAACACCGCTGAAGTATCTAGGAATCAAGATCGCTAAGACAGGTCCTCATCATCCCATGCCGGGTGAATTAATGACCAAGATACTGGCCAAACTGTCGGCCTGGTCTGCAATATACACATCAATTTTTGGAAGGGTGCTCCTACTTAACGCGTCCATCTTCTTGATGTTGTGGTAAGGTGGGACAATCTGGTCTCCCCCACCTCAGACAACCTCTGCATTGCACAGATGTGCAGCGGCCTACCTCTGGACCGCAAATCCAACCAAACCTCACTTCATCTCCAAAGTGGTGTGGAAACACTCACCCGCGCGAAGGAACAGGGAGGCTTGGGCATCTTGGACCCGGATCAACAACTTAAGGCCCTACAAACCAAGTGGGTGATCAAGCTGATCACCCATCAAAAGCTGCCCTGGGTCTCGTTGGCCCTGGACCGCATCAGGCGCCTGGCTAAATATGAAACCCCGACCAATATGACCGGTCTATTATGGGTAATGTGCAGCAGCTGGGCCAAGGTAGG